TATATATATATATATACAAACAAGGATAGTATGTGTTGATTGGCCGAACATTTCCCTGACGAGATTTCTCACCTTCGTCTTACATTATCTCCAGCTCCATCGGTTGCGTTGGCCACATGAGTTGACCCCATTCGATGTTGGAGAACTTCATCGCTGACTTCTTGCTCACTTGATGAGGGGGTTCGCGAAGAGGAGCACCTCGGCAGACATCTTGCTCCGGTTCTGATCATGCGATGGTAATCCGAACTCGGAGTCTTCAGAACTGCTGGGGCAGGGACCAAGGCAATCACAAGACCGTAGATGGTCAAGGACTCCATGAAGGCCAGGGACAGCAGCCTTTGGAGCGCAGCTCATCAAGAGCGCTCTACCCAAATACGACAGATTCTTGCACGACCCCTCTACCTCGGTGCAAAGATCTGGATCGAAGTCTGCAACCCTCCTTGCATCCAAGCGTCAGGACACCGCGGAGGTCGTCCGCGACCTTCGGACAATTTCGATCCGGAATCAGAACACGCGAAACGGTTCTACAATGCTCGTGCAGCCGGTCTGGCGGGGTATTCCGCACTGCGTAGCATCTCGCAGAGACTCGCTCAAGAAGCCAGCTCTTAAACCTGGAAGTCGGTTGCAATGGCCTCCGGCTGACGGGAAATGCCGTCAATGCAGCGGCCGCTGGCAATGCCCTGAAACAGGCGTTCGAAGTTTGAGGTGGAACCAGCGGCAGCCACCGAATCTTTGTCTAGAAACCATCTGGAACGGAGAAACGGACTCAGACTCTTGCAGGGCACGGATACTCTTGGTCGCCCAAGGATCACACAGCCGAAGAAGAACTAGGGTAACGAGAAGGCGGATTGTCCCGGTGAATATTTGGAGCCTGGCCCACGCCCGAGCCGATGGCTGCGAGACCGATGGCGAAGCCGGCGCCGATGGCGGAGAGCGCTGGGATCCACACTGCACCGCCCTTGCAAAGGCTCAGAGGAGGAGATGCTTTCGTGTTCGGATGGTGCATGATGGTGCTACCTCCTTGAGTCTAGTTTCTCAAAGCGCGACACCTGCACAACAGGGAGTCTCAGCAAAAGCCTCCCTGAAAAGAATTCCCAAGCTCCCTCCAGATCGAAGCGCAGCAAGCAAAACTGCAAAACTATGCCTGCATTCTCAAACCGCGAAGAAGCAACACGCCTGCCTCAGCATGCGCTGCCTGCGGAGCCACCAGCGTCATGGCGCCTTCAGCCGCTGGCTCGGGGCTGCACGTTTGCTTTGCAACTCGCTTCGGGTCAAACACTGTCAGCAACACGGAGCCCGCACGAGAAAGCGAATGCAGCCAGGTGGCTCAGGGCTGCGGTGGTGGCATGCGGCGCGGTTGGAGCCGGAGCAGCACGAGGCGCGGCCACGAAGGCCGTGAAAAGCGCACCTAGCACATCTATCGACGAGACTTTTGCCACCCAGAAGCAGACCGACCAAGTGACATCAAGTAACTTCTTCGTTGCATGCGAGCAGTGGCTTGCACCGAGGCCCCAGCCGCTGCAAAGGAGCACAGCACCGGTCAAGAAGAGAGAGCGGGCCATCCTCAGTCCGTTTCGTGCATCTCTAAGCAAAGACACGGATCTCCTGCACCCCTCGGCTCACCCAGCCCATCTGCAGCCGCGTCTCTTCAGAAGCTTCGGGCAGAGGTCGGGAGCAAGGCGACGGGAGAAACGCTAAAGCTGAGCCGAGTCGCGGTCGAAGCACATGAGCACGTCTCCTTTACAAGCCTACGGCTGCGCTCCCCTGACTCTCAAGCTCTGCAACTGCGAGAAACCCACACCCGAAGGATATCGCACATCGTGTGCAGAGGAGTGGGGCAGTCGGTGAGAACTGCCTTGCAGCCCCGCTCCAAGCTAACGCATTTGTTGTCATTTACACCCCTTGGTTCGGCGAGCTGGAGCTTGCTAAGATGACAGCGACCAGATTCAAAAGTTTAGAGCTACCCCAAGCCCAGATGCCCCCACCTCCGGCATGTCAAGAACCAAGCTTGTCACTAAAAATGCTGCGCAAGTGATCCGTCAGGAGCCCTGGAGAACAAATCACTTCCGATTGGCCAGCCATTTCTCCGAGCGCACGCTCTCTCTTCCTCTTCCTCTGATGCTCCGCCCACTCGAGGCTGGAGAACTTCACCGCTGACTTCTTGCTCACTTGATGAGGGGGTTGGCGAAGAGGAGCACCTCGGCAGACATCTTGCTCTGTTTCTGATCATGCGATGGTAATCCGAACTCGGCGTCTTCAGAACTGCTGGGGCAGGGACCAAGGCAATCACAAGACCGTAGATGGTCAAGGACTCCATGAAGGCCAGGGACAGCAGCCTGCGGGCGCAGCTCATCAAGAGCACTGTGCCAACGACAGTTTCCTTCACGACGCCGGTAACTCAATACACAGATCTGGATCGAAGTCTGCAACCCTCCTTGCATCCAAGCGTCAGGACACCGCGGAGGTCGTCCGCGACCTTCGGACAATTTCGATCCGGAATCAGAACACGCGAAACGGTTCTACAATGCTCGTGCAGCCGGTCTGGCGGGGTATTCCGCACTGCGTAGCATCTCGCAGAGACTCGCTCAAGAAGCCAGCTCTTAAACCTGGAAGTCGGTTGCAATGGCCTCCGGCTGACGGGAAATGCCGTCAATGCAGCGGCCGCTGGCAATGCCCTGGAACAGGCGTTCGAAGTTTGAGGTGGAACCAGCGGCAGCCACCGAATCTTTGTCTAGAAACCATCTGGAACGGAGAAATCTGAGAAAGAGGAGCAAACAAGGGAGGAGAGACACGGAGAAAGAGGAGCGAACCGCTCGAAAGGGAGTACGGTAAACCGTTTGAAAGGGACTACAGAATCTGAGACAGACGCGCAAACCGCTCAAAACGAACGAGAGAACCTGACTGAGAACTAGGAGCGATCCGTTCGAAAGGGACTAGTGAATCTCAGAAGAGGAGCGAGTCGTGCGAAAGGGGTTAGATATCTGAGAAAGAACTCGGGAATCTGAGACACAGAAGAAAACCGCGCGCAACGGTCTAGACAATCTGAGAAAGAGGAGCGGGCCGTTCGACAGAGACTAGAGAGTCTGAGGAAAACGAGCGAGCCGCTCAAAATGGACTAGAGAATCTTAAGAAAGGGATCGAACCGCTTGGGAAGAGCGGACCGTTCGAAACGGCCCTAAGGAATCGGAGAAGAAGGAGCGAACCGGTCCGGATTCGAAACTCGGAGAAAAAGGAGCCAACCGTTCGAAAACAATTAAAGACTCTGAGAAAGAGAAGCGAACCTTTCGAAAGGGACTACAGGGTGTGAACGGAGAGCAGGCGGATTGTCCCGGTGAATATTTGGAGCCTGGCCCACGCCCGAGCCGATGGCTGCGAGTCCGATGGCGAAGCCGGCGCCGATGGCGGAGAGCGCCGGGATCCACACTGCACCGCCCTTGCAAAGGCTCAGAGGAGCAGATGTTTTCGTGTTCGGATGGTGCATGATGGTGCTACCTCCTTGAGTCTAGTTTCTCAAAGCGCGACACGTGCACAACAGGGAGTCTCAGCAAAAGCCTCCGTGAAAAGAATTCCCAAGCTCCCTCCAGATCGAAGCGCAGCAAGCAAAACTGCAAAATTATGCCTGCATTCTCAAACCGCGAAGAAGCAACACGCCTGCCTCGGCATGCGCTGCCTGCGGAGCCATCAGCGTCATGGCGCCTTCAGCCGCTGGCTCGGGGCTGCACGTTTGCTTTGCAACTCGCTTCGGGTCAAACACTGTCAGCAACACGGAGCCCGCACGAGAAAGCGAATGCTGCGTCCGCAAGGCTGTTTGCAGCCAGGTGGCTCAGGGCTGCGGTGGTGGCATGCGGCGCGGTTGGGGCCGGAGCAGCACGAGGCGCGGCCACGAAGGCCGTGAAAAGCGCACCTAGCACATCTATCGACGAGACTTTTGCCACCCAGAAGCAGACCGACCAAGTGACATCAAGTAACTTCTTCGTTGCATGCGAGCAGTGGCTTGCACCGAGGCCCCAGCCGCTGCAAAGGAGCACAGCACCGGTCAAGAAGAGAGAGCGGGCCATCCTCAGTCCGTTTCGTGCATCTCTAAGCAAAGACACGGATCTCCTGCACCCCTCGGCTCACCCAGCCCATCTGCAGCCGCGTCTCTTCAGAAGCTTCGGGCAGAGGTCGGGAGCAAGGCGACGGGAGAAACGCTAAAGCTGAGCCGAGTCGCGGTCGAAGCACATGAGCACGTCTCCTTTACAAGCCTACGGCTGCGCTCCCCTGACTCTCAAGCTCTGCAACTGCGAGAAACCCACACCCGAAGGATATCGCACATCGTGTGCAGAGGAGTGGGGCAGTCGGTGAGAACTGCCTTGCAGCCCCGCTCCAAGCTAACGCATTTGTTGTCATTTACACCCCTTGGTTCGGCGAGCTGGAGCTTGCTAAGATGACAGCGACCAGATTCAAAAGTTTAGAGCTACCCCAAGCCCAGATGCCCCCACCTCCGGCATGTCAAGAACCAAGCTTGTCACTAAAAATGCTGCGCAAGTGATCCGTCAGGAGCCCTGGAGAACAAATCACTTCCGATTGGCCAGCCATTTCTCCGAGCGCACGCTCTCTCTTCCTCTTCCTCTGATGCTCCGCCCACTCGAGGCTGGAGAACTTCACCGCTGACTTCTTGCTCACTTGATGAGGGGGTTGGCGAAGAGGAGCACCTCGGCAGACATCTTGCTCTGTTTCTGATCATGCGATGGTAATCCGAACTCGGCGTCTTCAGAACTGCTGGGGCAGGGACCAAGGCAATCACAAGACCGTAGATGGTCAAGGACTCCATGAAGGCCAGGGACAGCAGCCTGCGGGCGCAGCTCATCAAGAGCACTGTGCCAACGACAGTTTCCTTCACGACGCCGGTAACTCAATACACAGATCTGGATCGAAGTCTGCAACCCTCCTTGCATCCAAGCGTCAGGACACCGCGGAGGTCGTCCGCGACCTTCGGACAATTTCGATCCGGAATCAGAACACGCGAAACGGTTCTACAATGCTCGTGCAGCCGGTCTGGCGGGGTATTCCGCACTGCGTAGCATCTCGCAGAGACTCGCTCAAGAAGCCAGCTCTTAAACCTGGAAGTCGGTTGCAATGGCCTCCGGCTGACGGGAAATGCCGTCAATGCAGCGGCCGCTGGCAATGCCCTGGAACAGGCGTTCGAAGTTTGAGGTGGAACCAGCGGCAGCCACCGAATCTTTGTCTAGAAACCATCTGGAACGGAGAAATCTGAGAAAGAGGAGCAAACAAGGGAGGAGAGACACGGAGAAAGAGGAGCGAACCGCTCGAAAGGGAGTACGGTAAACCGTTTGAAAGGGACTACAGAATCTGAGACAGACGCGCAAACCGCTCAAAACGAACGAGAGAACCTGACTGAGAACTAGGAGCGATCCGTTCGAAAGGGACTAGTGAATCTCAGAAGAGGAGCGAGTCGTGCGAAAGGGGTTAGATATCTGAGAAAGAACTCGGGAATCTGAGACACAGAAGAAAACCGCGCGCAACGGTCTAGACAATCTGAGAAAGAGGAGCGGGCCGTTCGACAGAGACTAGAGAGTCTGAGGAAAACGAGCGAGCCGCTCAAAACGGACTAGAGAATCTTAAGAAAGGGATCGAACCGCTTGGGAAGAGCGGACCGTTCGAAACGGCCCTAAGGAATCGGAGAAGAAGGAGCGAACCGGTCCGGATTCGAAACTCGGAGAAAAAGGAGCCAACCGTTCGAAAACAATTAAAGACTCTGAGAAAGAGAAGCGAACCTTTCGAAAGGGACTACAGGGTGTGAACGGAGAGCAGGCGGATTGTCCCGGTGAATATTTGGAGCCTGGCCCACGCCCGAGCCGATGGCTGCGAGTCCGATGGCGAAGCCGGCGCCGATGGCGGAGAGCGCCGGGATCCACACTGCACCGCCCTTGCAAAGGCTCAGAGGAGCAGATGTTTTCGTGTTCGGATGGTGCATGATGGTGCTACCTCCTTGAGTCTAGTTTCTCAAAGCGCGACACGTGCACAACAGGGAGTCTCAGCAAAAGCCTCCGTGAAAAGAATTCCCAAGCTCCCTCCAGATCGAAGCGCAGCAAGCAAAACTGCAAAATTATGCCTGCATTCTCAAACCGCGAAGAAGAAACACGCCTGCCTCGGCATGCGCTGCCTGCGGAGCCATCAGCGTCATGGCGCCTTCAGCCGCTGGCTCGGGGCTGCACGTTTGCTTTGCAACTCGCTTCGGGTCAAACACTGTCAGCAACACGGAGCCCGCACGAGAAAGCGAATGCTGCGTCCGCAAGGCTGTTTGCAGCCAGGTGGCTCAGGGCTGCGGTGGTGGCATGCGGCGCGGTTGGGGCCGGAGCAGCACGAGGCGCGGCCACGAAGGCCGTGAAAAGCGCACCTAGCACATCTATCGACGAGACTTTTGCCACCCAGAAGCAGACCGACCAAGTGACATCAAGTAACTTCTTCGTTGCATGCGAGCAGTGGCTTGCACCGAGGCCCCAGCCGCTGCAAAGGAGCACAGCACCGGTCAAGAAGAGAGAGCGGGCCATCCTCAGTCCGTTTCGTGCATCTCTAAGCAAAGACACGGATCCCCTGCACTCCTCGGCTCACCCAGCCCATCTGCAGCCGCGTCTCTTCAGAAGCTTCGGGCAGAGGTCGGGAGCAAGGCGACGGGAGAAACGCTAAAGCTGAGCCGAGTCGCAGTCGAAGCACATGAGCACGTCTCCTTTACAAGCCTACGGCTGCGCTCCCCTGACTCTCAAGCTCTGCAACTGCGAGAAACCCCCCTAAACCCTAAACCCTAAACCCTAAACCCTAAACCCTAAACCCTAAACCCTAAACCCCACACCCGAAGGATGTCGCACGTCGTGCGCAGAGGAGTGGGGCAGTCGGTGAGAACTGCCTTGCAGCCCTGCTCCAAGCTAACGCATTTGCTGTCATTTACACCCCTTGGTTCAGCGAGCTGGAGCTTGCTAAGATGACAGCGACCAGATTCACAAGTTTAGAGCTACCCCAAGCCCAGATGCGCCCAACTCCGGCATGTCAAGAACCAAGCTTGTCACTAAAAATGCTGAGCAAGTGATCCGTCAGGGGCCCTGGAGAACAAATCACTTCCGATTGGCCAGCCATTTCTCCGAGCGCACGCTCTCTCTTCCTCTTCCTCTGATGCTCCGCCCACTCGAAGCTGGAGAACTTCACCGCTGACTTCTTGCTCACTTGATGAGGGGGTTGGCGAAGAGGAGCACCTCGGCAGACATCTTGCTCTGTTTCTGATCATGCGATGGTAATCCGAACTCGGAGTCTTCAGAACTGCTGGGGCAGGGACCAAGGCAATCACAAGACCGTAGATGGTCAAGGACTCCATGAAGGCCAGGGACAGCAGCCTGCGGGCGCAGCTCATCAAGAGCACTCTGCCAACGACAGTTTCCTTCACGACGCCGGTAACTCAATACACAGATCTGGATCGAAGTCTGCAACCCTCCTTGCATCCAAGCGTCAGGACACCGCGGAGGTCGTCCGCGACCTTCGGACAATTTCGATCCGGAATCAGAACACGCGAAACGGTTCTACAATGCTCGTGCAGCCGGTCTGGCGGGGTATTCCGCACTGCGTAGCATCTCGCAGAGACTCGCTCAAGAAGCCAGCTCTTAAACCTGGAAGTCGGTTGCAATGGCCTCCGGCTGACGGGAAATGCCGTCAATGCAGCGGCCGCTGGCAATGCCCTGGAACAGGCGTTCGAAGTTTGAGGTGGAACCAGCGGCAGCCACCGAATCTTTGTCTAGAAACCATCTGGAACGGAGAAATCTGAGAAAGAGGAGCAAACAAGGGAGGAGAGACACGGAGAAAGAGGAGCGAACCGCTCGAAAGGGAGTACAGTAAACCGTTTGAAAGGGACTACAGAATCTGAGACAGACGCGCAAACCGCTCAAAACGAACGAGAGAACCTGACTGAGAACTAGGAGCGATCCGTTCGAAAGGGACTAGTGAATCTCAGAAGAGGAGCGAGTCGTGCGAAAGGGGTTAGATATCTGAGAAAGAACTCGGGAATCTGAGACACAGAAGAAAACCGCGCGCAACGGTCTAGACAATCTGAGAAAGAGGAGCGGGCCGTTCGACAGAGACTAGAGAGTCTGAGGAAAACGAGCGAGCCGCTCAAAATGGACTAGAGAATCTTAAGAAAGGGATCGAACCGCTTGGGAAGAGCGGACCGTTCGAAACGGCCCTAAGGAATCGGAGAAGAAGGAGCGAACCGGTCCGGATTCGAAACTCGGAGAAAAAGGAGCCAACCGTTCGAAAACAATTAAAGACTCTGAGAAAGAGAAGCGAACCTTTCGAAAGGGACTACAGGGTGTGAACGGAGAGCAGGCGGATTGTCCCGGTGAATATTTGGAGCCTGGCCCACGCCCGAGCCGATGGCTGCGAGTCCGATGGCGAAGCCGGCGCCGATGGCGGAGAGCGCCGGGATCCACACTGCACCGCCCTTGCAAAGGCTCAGAGGAGCAGATGTTTTCGTGTTCGGATGGTGCATGATGGTGCTACCTCCTTGAGTCTGGTTTCTCAAAGCGCGACAGGCGCGACACGTGCGCAACAGGGAGTCTCAGCAAAAACCTCCCTGAAAAGACTTCCCAAGCTCCCTCCAGTCGAAGCGCAGCAAGCAAAACTGCAAAACTTATTGCCTGCGTTCTCAAACCGCGAAGGAGCAACACGCCCGCCTCGGCATGCGCTGCCTGCGGAGCCACCAGCGTCATGGCGCCTTCAGCCGCTGGCTCGGGGCTGCATGTTTGCTTTGCAACTCGCTTCGGGTCAAACACTGTCAGCAACACGGAGCCCGCACGAGAAAGCGAATGCTGCGTCCGCAAGGCTGTTTGCAGCCAGGTGGCTCAGGGCTGCGGTGGTGGCATGCGGCGCGGTTGGGGCCGGAGCAGCACGAGGCGCGGCCACGAAGGCCGTGAAAAGCGCACCTAGCACATCTATCGACGAGGCTTTTGCCACCCAGAAGCAGACCGATCAAGTGACATCAAGTAACTTCTTCGTTGCATGCGAGCAGTGGCTTGCACCGAGGCCCCAGCCGCTGCAAAGGAGCACAGCACCGGTCAAGAAGAGAGAGCGGGCCATCCTCAGTCCGTTTCGTGCATCTCTAAGCGAAGGCACGTAACCCCTGCACCCCTCAGCTCACCCGGCGCATCTGCAGCCGCGTCTCTTCAGAAGCTTCGGGCAGAGGTCGGGAGCAAGGCGACGGGAGAAACGCTAAAGCTGAGCCGAGTCGAACAGTCGAAGCACATGAGCACGTCTCCTTTAGAAGCCTTCGGCTGCGCTCCCCTGACTCTCAAGCTCTGCAACTGCGAGAAACCCACACCCGAAGGATGTCGCACATCGTGTGCAGAGGAGTGGGGCAGTCGGTGCGACTGCCTTGCAGCCCTGCTCCAAGCCAACGCATTTGCTGTCATTTTTACACCCCTTGGTTCAGCGAGCTGGAGCTTGCTAAGATGACAGCGACCAGATTCACAAGTTTAGAGCTACCCCAAGCCCAGATGCGCCCAACTCCGGCATGTCAAGAACCAAGCTTGTCACTAAAAATGCTGAGCAAGTGATCCGTCAGGGGCCCTGGAGAACAAATCACTTCCGATTGGCCAGCCATTTCTCCGAGCGCACGCTCTCTCTTCCTCTTCCTCTGATGCTCCGCCCACTCGAAGCTGGAGAACTTCACCGCTGACTTCTTGCTCACTTGATGAGGGGGTTGGCGAAGAGGAGCACCTCGGCAGACATCTTGCTCTGTTTCTGATCATGCGATGGTAATCCGAACTCGGAGTCTTCAGAACTGCTGGGGCAGGGACCAAGGCAATCACAAGACCGTAGATGGTCAAGGACTCCATGAAGGCCAGGGACAGCAGCCTGCGGGCGCAGCTCATCAAGAGCACTGTGCCAACGACAGTTTCCTTCACGACGCCGGTAACTCAATACACAGATCTGGATCGAAGTCTGCAACCCTCCTTGCATCCAAGCGTCAGGACACCGCGGAGGTCGTCCGCGACCTTCGGACAATTTCGATCCGGAATCAGAACACGCGAAACGGTTCTACAATGCTCGTGCAGCCGGTCTGGCGGGGTATTCCGCACTGCGTAGCATCTCGCAGAGACTCGCTCAAGAAGCCAGCTCTTAAACCTGGAAGTCGGTTGCAATGGCCTCCGGCTGACGGGAAATGCCGTCAATGCAGCGGCCGCTGGCAATGCCCTGAAACAGGCGTTCGAAGTTTGAGGTGGAACCAGCGGCAGCCACCGAATCTTTGTCTAGAAACCATCTGGAACGGAGAAACGGACTCAGACTCTTGCAGGGCACGGATACTGTTGGTCGCCCAAGGATCACACAGCCGAAGAAGAACTACGGTAACGAGAAGGCGGATTGTCCCGGTGAATATTTGGAGCCTGGCCCACGCCCGACCCGATGGCTGCGAGACCGATGGCGAAGCCGGCGCCGATGGCGGAGAGCGCCGGGATCCACACTGCACCGCCCTTGCAAAGGCTCAGAGGAGCAGATGTTTTCGTGTTCGGATGGTGCATGATGGTGCTACTTCCTTGAGTCTGGTTTCTCAAAGCGCGACACGTGCGCAACAGGGAGTCTCAGCAAAAGCCTCCCTGAACGGAATTCCCAAGCTCCCTCCAGATCGAAGCGCAGCAAGCAAAACTGCAAAACTATGCCTGCATTCTCAAACCGCGAAGAAGCAACACGCCCGCCTCGGCATGCACTGCCTGCGGAGCCATCAGCGTCATGGCGCCTTCAGCCGCTGGCTCGGGGCTGCACGTTTGCTTTGCAACTCGCTTCGGGTCAAACAATGTCAGCAACACGGAGCCCGCACGAGAAAGCGAATGCTGCGTCCGCAAGGCTGTTTGCAGCCAGGTGGCTCAGGGCTGCGGTGGTGGCATGCGGCGCGGTTGGGGCCGGAGCAGCACGAGGCGCGGCCACGAAGGCCGTGAAAAGCGCACCTAGCACATCTATCGACGAGGCTTTTGCCACCCAGAAGCAGACCGATCAAGTGACATCAAGTAACTTCTTCGTTGCATGCCAGCAGTGGCTTGCACCGAGGCCCCAGCCGCTGCAAAGGAGCACAGCACCGGTCAAGAAGAGAGAGCGGGCCATCCTCAGTCCGTTTCGTGCATCTCTAAGCAAAGACACGTAACCCCTCCACGCCTCAGCTCACCCGGCCCATCTGCAGCCGCGTCTCTTCAGAAGCTTCGGGCAGAGGTCGGGAGCAAGGCGACGGGAGAAACGCTAAAGCTGAGCCGAGTCGAACAGTCGAAGCACATGAGCACGTCTCCTTTACAAGCCTTCGGCTATGCTCCCCGGACTTTCAAGCTGTGCGACTGTGAGAGCCACCTCCGAAGAAAGAGGAAGGCGTCCATTTATACTTGGAATTCACAAACGGCATGCAGAGGGGTGAAGAGTTCGCAAGAACTGCCGTGGAGGATTGCTATCACCCAAACCACTTTACCCCCCTGGCTCAGCGGGCTAGGACTTACTAAGAGACGCAACTGAAGAACGAGAAATCCTGGGGTTCCCGTTTCAGCCTAGCCAGCACATCTTTGCGCCCATCTCCGGCGTCGAAAGAACAAACTGCATCTGCATAAACTGTAAACCTCTGGCTTGGAACCATGGGGGGATCTTAGGGGACGGTAAGACAACATCCCTTCCAATTTGCTGAACCATTTCTCCGAGCGCACGCTCTCTTCCTCTTCCTCTGACGCACCGCCTCAGTCGAAGCTGGAGAACTTCACCGCTGACAACTTGCTCACTTGATGAGGGGGTTGGCGAAGAGGAGCACCTCGGAAGACATCTTGCTCTGGTTCTGATCGTGCGATGGCTTTCTGAACTCGGAGTCTTCAGAACTGCTGGGGCAGGGACCAAGGCAATCACAAGACCGTAGATGGTCAAGGACTCCATGAAGGCCAGGGACAGCAGCCTTTGGAGCGCAGCTCATCAAGAGCGCTCGACCCGATACGACGGATTCTTGCACGACCCCTCTACCTCCCTGCAAAGATCTGGATCGAAGTATGCAACCCTCCTTGCATCCAAGCGTCAGGACACCGCGGAGGTCGTCTGCGACCTGTCAACAAGCGACCGATCTCTACAGTCTACAGAAGTTGTGGTGGCTGCACCGGCGAGATCAAGTCGGTAGTGGCAGAGAGACCCACGAATGTGAACCGACTCCCAATTTCGCACACCTACTTCTAAGCATCCGTAGCGTCCATGTACCATGGTTGGAGCCTCCGGCTGACGGGAAATGCCGTCAATGCAGCGGCCGCTGGCAATGCCCTGAAACAGAGCAAGAAAGTGGCAGCGACCAAGCCGTCCTTTAGAAGCCGCCCAGACTGCAAGCAGGAAATGAGCTGGTGCTTCAACGACTCTCTGGACGGAGCAACCCACTGGTTCGTGCAAAGGTTTCTGGGCACCCACAACTAGACACGTGCAAAAAAAGAACCGGGCGGGGGGGGTGAGAGACGCAGTTGTTTTGGAGAACCCGCCGCGGCCTGGCCCACGCCCGAGCCGATGGCCGCGAGGCCGATCGCGAAGCCGGCACCGATGGCGGAGAGTGCTGGGATCCACACGGCACCGCCCTTGCGAAGTCTCATGTGTCTTGGCATGCAGACGGTGCTGCATTGTCTCTCTGAAAACCAGTTGAATGTAGCTTCTGGCTTCCCGGCTCTTAGTTTGCGTAGACAGGGGTCACATCAAACCTTTCCTATTTGAGTCGTTGGGCCCAGCTTTAGCACGTCATATACTCCCTCCCCTTCAAGAGTCACCAAGCTCCCTCCAGATCCAAGCACGAAAACCGAAACTGCGAACTTCTGCCTCAAGTCGTCCTTCCCGACCTTTTCTTGTGGCTCGCGAAAAAGAAACACTGCAACGCGCCTGCCTCGGCATGCGCTGCCTGAGGGGCCACCAGCGTCATGGCGCCTTCAGTTGCCGCTGGCTCCGAGATGCACGTTTGCTTTGCGACGCTTAGGGTCAAACACTGTCAGCAACACGGGGCCCACGCGAGAAAGCGCGTGTTCCGTCCGCAAGGCTGTTTGCAGCCAGGTGGCTCAGGGCTGCGGTGGTGGCATGCGGCGCGGTTGGGGCCGGAGCAGCACGGGGTGCGGCCACGAAGGCCGTGAAAAGCGCACCTAGCACATCTATCGACGAGGCTTTTGCCACCCAGAAGCAGACCGATCAAGTGACATCAAGTAACTTCTTCGTTGCATGCCAGCAGTGGCGGCTTGCACCGAGGCCCCAGCCGCTGCAAAGGAGCACAGCACCGGTCAAGAAAAGAGAGCGGGCCATCCTCAGTCCGTCTTGTGCATCTCTAAGCGAAGGCACGTAACCCCTGAACCCCTCAGCTCACCCGGCCCATCTGCAGCCGCGTCTCTTCAGAAGCTTCGGGCAGAGGTCGGGAGCAAGGCGACGGGAGAAACGCTAAAGCTGAGCCGAGTCGAACAGTCGAAGCACATGAGCACGTCTCCTTTACAAGCCTTCGGCTATGCTCCCCGGACTCTCAAGCTGTGCGACTGTGAGAGCCACCTCCGAAGAAAGAGGAAGGCGTCCATTTATACTTGGAATTCACAAACGGCACGCAGAGGGGTGAAGAGTTCGCAAGAACTGCCGTGGAGGATTGCTATCACCCAAACCACTTTACCCCCCTGGCTCAGCTGGCTAGGACTTACTAAGAGACGCAACTGAAGAACGAGAAATCCTGGGGTTCCCGTTTCAGCCTAGCCAGCACATCTTTGCGCCCATCTCCGGCGTCGAAAGAAAAAACTACATCTGCATAAACTGTAAACCTCTGGCTTGGAACCATGGGGGGATCTTAGCGGACGGTAAGACAACATCCCTTCCAATTTGCCGAACCATTTCTCCGAGCGCACGCTCTCTTCCTCTTCCTCTGACGCACCGCCTCAGTCGAAGCTGGAGAACTTCACCGCTGACTTCTTGCTCACTTGATGAGGGGGTTGGCGAAGAGGAGCACCTCGGCAGACATCTTGCTCCGGTTATGATCATGCGATGGTAATCCGAACTCGGAGTCTTCAGAACTGCTGGGGCAGGGACCAAGGCAATCACAAGACCGTAGATGGTCAAGGACTCCATGAAGGCCAGGGACAGCAGCCTTTGGAGCGCAGCTCATCAAGAGCGCTCGACCCGATACGACGGATTCTTGCACGACCCCTCTACCTCCCTGCAAAGATCTGGATCGAAGTATGCAACCCTCCTTGCATCCAAGCGTCAGGACACCGCGGAGGTCGTCTGCGACCTGTCAACAAGCGACCGATCTCTACAGTCTACAGAAGTTGTGGTGGCTGCACCGGCGAGATCAAGTCGGTAGTGGCAGAGAGACCCACGAATGTGAACCGACTCCCAATTTCGCACACCTACTTCTAAGCATCCGTAGCGTCCATGTACCATGGTTGGAGCCTCCGGCTGACGGGAAATGCCGTCAATGCAGCGGCCGCTGGCAATGCCCTGAAACAGAGCAAGAAAGTGGCAGCGACCAAGCCGTCCTTTAGAAGCCGCCCAGACTGCAAGCAGGAAATGAGCTGGTGCTTCAACGACTCTCTGGACGGAGCAACCCACTGGTTCGTGCAAAGGTTTCTGGGCACCCACAACTAGACACGTGCAAAAAAAGAACCGGGCGGGGGGGGGTGAGAGACGCAGTTGTTTTGGAGAACCCGCCGCGGCCTGGCCCACGCCCGAGCCGATGGCCGCGAGGCCGATCGCGAAGCCGGCACCGATGGCGGAGAGTGCTGGGATCCACACGGCACCGCCCTTGCGAAGTCTCATGTGTCTTGGCATGCAGACGGTGCTGCATTGTCTCTCTGAAAACCAGTTGAATGTAGCTTCTGGCTTCCCGGCTCTTAGTTTGCGTAGACAGGGGTCACATCAAACCTTTCCAATTTGAGTCGTTGGGCCCAGCTTTAGCACGTCATATACTCCCTCCCCTTCAAGAGTCACCAAGCTCCCTCCAGATCCAAGCACGAAAACCGAAACTGCGAACTTCTGCCTCAAGTCGTCCTTCCCGACCTTTTCTTGTGGCTCGCGAAAAAGAAACACTGCAACGCGCCTGCCTCGGCATGCGCTGCCTGAGGGGCCACCAGCGTCATGGCGCCTTCAGTTGCCGCTGGCTCCGAGATGCACGTTTGCTTTGCGACGCTTAGGGTCAAACACTGTCAGCAACACGGGGCCCACGCGAGAAAGCGCGTGTTCCGTCTGCAAGGCTGTTTGCAGCCAGGTGGCTCAGGGCTGCGGTGGTGGCATGCGGCGCGGTTGGGGCCGGAGCAGCACGGGGTGCGGCCACGAAGGCCGTGAAAAGCGCACCTAGCACATCTATCGACGAGACTTTTGCCACCCAGAAGCAGACCGACCAAGTGACATCAAGTAACTTCTTCGTTGCATGCCAGCAGTGGCGGCTTGCACCGAGGCCCCAGCCGCTGCAAAGGAGCACAGCACCGGTCAAGAAGAGAGAGCGGGCCATCCTCAGTCCGTTTCGTGCATCTCTAAGCAAAGACACGTAACCCCTGCACCCCTCAGCTCACCCGGCCCATCTGCAGCCGCGTCTCTTCAGAAGCTTCGGGCGAGGTCGGGAGCAAGGCGACGGGAGAAACACTAAAGCTGAGCCGAGTCGCAGTCGAAGCACATGAGCACGTCTCCTTTACAAGCCTTCGGCTATGCTCCCCGGACTCTCAAGCTGTGCGACTGTGAGAGCCACCTCCGAAGAAAGGGGTGCGGGCCCGCTTCTGGCCACCATTCGCGCCCGCAATGGAAGAAAGAGGAAGGCGTCCATGTATGCTTGGAATTCACAAACGGCACGCAGAGGGGTGAAGAGTTCGCAAGAACTGCCGTGGAGGATTGCTATCACCCAAACCACTTTACCCCCCTGGCTCAGCGGGCTAGGACTTACTAAGAGACGCAACTGAAGAACGAGAAATCCTGGGGTTCCCATTTCAGCCTAGCCAGCACATCTTTGCGCCCATCTCCGGCGTCGAAAGAACAAACTGCATCTGCATAAACTGTAAACCTCTGGCTTGGAACCATGGGGGATCTTAGGGGACGGTAAGACAACATCCCTGCCAATTTGCCGAACCATTTCTCCGAGCGCACGCTCTCTTCCTCTTCCTCTGACGCACCGCCTCAGTCGAAGCTGGAGAACTTCACCGCTGACAACTTGCTCACTTGATGAGGGGGTTGGCGAAGAGGAGCACCTCGGCAGACATCTTGCTCCGGTTATGATCATGCGATGGTAATCCGAACTCGGAGTCTTCAGAACTGCTGGGGCAGGGACCAAGGCAATCACAAGACCGTAGATGGTCAAGGACTCCATGAAGGCCAGGGACAGCAGCCTTTGGAGCGCAGCTCATCAAGAGCGCTCTACCCGATACGACGGATTCTTGCACGACCCCTCTACCTCCCTGCAAAGATCTGGATCGAAGTATGCAACCCTCCTTGCATCCAAGCGTCAGGACACCGCGGAGGTCGTCTGCGACCTGTCAACAAGCGACCGATCTCTACAGTCTACAGAAGTTGTGGTGGCTGCACCGGCGAGATCAAGTCGGTAGTGGCAGAGAGACCCACGAATGTGAACCGACTCCCAATTTCGCACACCTACTTCTAAGCATCCGTAGCGTCCATGTACCATGGTTGGAGCCTCCGGCTGACGGGAAATGCCGTCAATGCAGCGGCCGCTGGCAATGCCCTGAAACAGAGCAAGAAAGTGGCAGCGACCAAGCCGTCCTTTAGAAGCCGCCCAGACTGCAAGCAGGAAATGAGCTGGTGCTTCAACGACTCTCTGGACGGAGCAACCCACTGGTTCGTGCAAAGGTTTCTGGGCACCCACAACTAGACACGTGCAAAAAAAGAACCGGGCGGGGGGGGGTGAGAGACGCAGTTGTTTTGGAGAACCCGCCGCGGCCTGGCCCACGCCCGAGCCGATGGCCGCGAGGCCGATCGCGAAGCCGGCACCGATGGCGGAGAGTGCTGGGATCCACACGGCACCGCCCTTGCGAAGTCTCATGTGTCTTGGCATGCAGACGGTGCTGCATTGTCTCTCTGAAAACCAGTTGAATGTAGCTTCTGGCTTCCCGGCTCTTAGGTCACATCAAACCTTTCCAATTTGAGTCGTTGGGCCCAGCTTTAGCACGTCACAATCCTCCCAAAATCTCAAGCACCACCCAAAATGCCACTGAAGAGTAAACCTGAGCCCAGATGCCACCAGCCTTTTGCCACCAGTAGCTGCAAGCTTCGATGGGGAGATGCAGCAACAACAGGAGTGCTGATACACCGACCCAGGATGTGAGAAAAGATCTGGTAAATGCCCAGCATACCAGGACTTCACATCCTCGCATCGGAAACCGATATCAGAAAACCCCCTCCACTGGTAAATAACGGGTGAGGGCGGGTGGGAAAGATAAATGGAAAACCGATTTGAGCAACATCTGCCCATTCGATTTCGTCAGATTGTGCATCTCTCACAACAGCAAGCTCCTGTAACTGACACATATACTCCCTCCCCTTCAAGAGTCACCAAGCTCCCTCCAGATCCAAGCACGAAAACCGAAACTGCGAACTTCTGCCTCAAGTCGTCCTTCCTGGCCCGTTCTTGTGGCTCGCGAAAAAGCCACACTGCAACACGCCTGCCTCGGCATGCGCTGCCTGAGGGGCCACCAGCGTCATGGCGCCTTCAGTTGCCGCTGGCTCGGGGCTGCACGTTTGCTTTGCAGTTCGCTTCGGGTCAAACACTGTCAGCAACACGGGGCCCACGCGAGAAAGCGCGTGTTCCGTCCGCAAGGCTGTTTGCAGCCAGGTGGCTCAGGGCTGCGGTGGCGGCATGCGGCGCGGTTGGGGCCGGAGCAGCACGGGGTGCGGCCACGAAGGCCGTGAAAAGCGCACCTGGCACCATCTATCCACGAGGCTTTTGCCAGAAGCAGACCGACCAAGTGACATCAAGTAACTTCTTCGTTGCATGCCAGCAGTGGCGGCTTGCACCGGGGCCCCAGCCGCTGCAAAGGAGCACAGCACCGGTCAAGAAGAGAGAGCGGGCCATCCTCAGTCCGTCTCGTGCATCTCTAAGCAAAGACACGTAACCCCTGCACCCCTCAGCTCACCCGGCCCATCTGCAGCCGCGTCTCTTCAGAAGCTTCGGGCCGAGGTCGGGAGCAAGGCGACGGGAGAAACGCTAAAGCTGAGCCGAGACGAACAGTCGAAGCACATGAGCACGTCTCCTTTACAAGCCTTCGGCTGCGCTCCCCTGACTCTCAAGCTCTGCAACTGCGAGAAACCCACACCCGAAGGATGTCGCACATCGTGTGCAGAGGAGTGGGGCAGTCGGTGAGAACTGCCTTGCAGCCCTGCTCCAAGCTAACGCATTTGCTGTCATTTACACCCCTTGGTTCAGCGAGCTGGAGCTTGCTAAGATGACAGCGACCAGATTCGCAAGTTTAGAGCTGCCCCAAACCGAGATGCCCCCACCTCCGGCATGCCAAGAACCAAGCTCGACAATAGAAATGCTGGGCTGGTGATCTGTCAGGAGCCTTTAAGAACGAAGCCTCTTCGGATTTGCCGAGACATTTCTCCGAGCGCACGCTCTCTTCCTCTTCCTCTGACGCACCGCCTCAGTCGAAGCTGGAGAACTTCATCGCTGACATCTTGCTCACTTGATGAGGGGGTTGGCGAAGAGGAGCACCTCGGAAGACATCTTGCTCTGGTTCTGATCGTGCGATAGCTTTCTGAACTCGGAGTCTTCAGAACTGCTGGGGCAGGGACCAAGGCAATCACAAGACCGTAGATGGTCAAGGACTCCATGAAGGCCAGGGACAGCAGCCTTTGGAGCGCAGCTCATCAAGAGCGCTCGACCCGATACGACGGATTCTTGCACGACCCCTCTACCTCCCTGCAAAGATCTGGATCGAAGTATGCAACCCTCCTTGCATCCAAGCGTCAGGACACCGCGGAGGTCGTCTGCGACCTGTCAAAAAGCTACAGTCCACAGAAGTTATGGTGGCTGCACCGGCGAGATCAAGTCGGAAATGGCAGAGAGACCCACGAACGTGAACCGACTCCCATCTCGCACACCTACTTCTCAGCATCCATAGCGTGCATGGAGCCCATTGAAAGAGGCCAGCCCTCAAATCTAGAAGCCGGGTTGGAGCCTCCGGCTGACGGGAAATGCCGTCAATGCAGCGGCCGCTGGCAATGCCCTGAAACGGAGTAAGTAGCAGCGACCAGCCGTCATCGAGAAACCGCCCAGATTGCAAAACGACTTGGCCCTTCAAGTACTCTCTGGACGGAAGTGAACTAGGAGTACACTTGGTCACTTGGTCGTTTAAAATTCTTCTGGGCATCGAAAGCAAGACTACACACGGCCAAAGAAGAACTGGGGAGTCGTGCAACTGTCTTGATTGTCTCGGTACATGTTTGGACAACCCGCTGTGGCCTGGCCCACACCCGAGCCGATGGCCGCGAGACCGATGGCGAAGCCGGCGCCGATGGCGGAGAGCGCCGGGATCCACACGGCACCGTCCTTGCGAAAACCAATGTCTCGTCATGCTCAGAAGGTGCTTGGATTCTCCAAGGTACGTTTGACGCGGAGGTTTCGCAACATCAACACAGCTTATTCCTTGCAATCTGTAGGCCCGCCTTCGGCATTTTCTTCACTACACTCCTGAACCCAAGCTCGCTCAAAAATCCCGCTTCAAGTCGCCCTTCCCGTCTGCCTCGGCGTGTGCTGCCTGCGGGGCCACCAGTGTGATGGCGCCTTCAGTTGCCGCTGGCTCGGGGCTGCACGTTTGCTTTGCAGTTCGCTTCGGGTCAAACACTGTCAGCAGCGCGGAGCCCACGCGAGAAAGTGCATGCTGCGTCCGCAAGGCTGCTTGCAGCAAGGCGACTCAGGGCTGCTGTGGTGGCATGCGGCGCGGTTGGGGCCGGAGCAGCACGGGGTGCGGCCACGAAGGCCGTGAAAAGCGCACCTGGCACCATCTATCCACGAGGCTTTTGCCAGAAGCAGACCGACCAAGTGACATCAAGTAACTTCTTCACTGCATGAGGGCAGTGGCTTGCACCGAGGCCCCGGCCGCTGCAAAGGAGCACAGCACCGGTCAAGAAGAGAGAGCGGGCCATCCTCAGTCCGTTTCGGATGTCTAACGGAATCCCTGAACCCCTCAGCTCACCCAGCCAATCTGCAGCCACGTCTCTTCACAGCTTCGGGTGGAGGTCGGGAGCACGGCGACGGGAGAAACGCTAAAACTGAGCCGAGTTGAATCACGTGAGCACGTCCGCCTTGCAAGCCTTCGGCTAAGCTCCTCAAGCACAGCTGCTAACGTGTTTAATGTCAGTTACCCCCGTGGTTCAGCGAGCTGGGGCTGGGGAAGACGACAGTGATCAGATTCGAAGAACAAGATGCAAGAGCTGCCCCAAACCGAGATGCCCACACCTCCGGCATGCCAAGAACCAAGCTCGACACTAGAAATGCTGGGCTGGTGATCCTTTAAGAACGAAGCCTCTTCGGATTTGCCGAGACATTTCTCCGAGCGCACGCTCTCTTCCTCTTCCTCTGACGCACCGCCTCAGTCGAAGCTGGAGAACTTCATCGCTGACATCTTGCTCACTTGATGAGGGGGTTGGCGAAGAGGAGCACCTCAGCAGACATCTTGCTCTGGTTCTGATCATGCGATGGCAATCCGAACTCGGAGTCTTCAGAACTTCTGGGGCAGGGACCAGGGCAATCACAAGACCGTAGATGGTCAAGGACTCCATGAAGGCCAGGGACAGCAGCCTGTGGAGCGCAGCTCATCAAGAGCGCTCTACCCCATACGACGGATTCTTGCACGACCCCTCTACCTCCGTGCAAAGATCTGGATCGAAGTATGCAACCCTCCTTGCGTCCAAGCGTCAGGACACCGCGGAGGTCGTCTGCGACCTGTCAAAAAGCTACAGTCTACAGAAGTTATGGTGACTGCACCGGCGAGATCAAGTCGGAAGTGGCAGAGAGACCCACGAACGTGAACCGACTCCCATCTCGCACACCTACTTCTCAGCATCCATAGCGTGCATGGAGCCCATTGAAAGAGGCCAGCCCTCAAATCTAGAAGCCGGGTTGGAGCCTCCGGCTGACGGGAAATGCCGTCAATGCAGCGGCCGCTGGCAATGCCCTGAAACGGAGTAAGTAGCAGCGACCAGCCGTCATCGAGAAACCGCCCAGATTGCAAAACGACTTGGCCCTTCAAGTACTCTCTGGACGGAAGTGAACTAGGAGTACACTTGGTCACTTGGTCGTTTAAAATTCTTCTGGGCATCGAAAGCAAGGCTACACACGGCCAAAGAAGAACTGGGGAGTCGTGCAACTGTCTTGATTGTCTCGGTACATGTTTGGACAACCCGCTGTGGCCTGGCCCACACCCGAGCCGATGGCCGCGAGACCGATGGCGAAGCCGGCGCCGATGGCGGAGAGCGCCGGGATCCACACGGCACCGTCCTTGCGAAAACCAATGTCTCGTCATGCTCAGAAGGTGCTTGGATTCTCCAAGGTACGTTTGACGCGGAGGTTTCGCAACATCAACACAGCTTATTCCTTGCAATCTGTAGGCCCGCCTTCGGCATTTTCTTCACTACACTCCTGAACCCAAGCTCGCTCAAAAATCCCGCTTCCTTCCCGTCTGCCTCGGCGTGTGCTGCCTGCGGGGCCACCAGCGTGATGGCGCCTTCAGTTGCCGCTGGCTTGGGGCTGCACGTTTGCTTTGCAGTTCGCTTCGGGTCAAACACTGTCAGCAGCGCGGAGCCCACGCGAGAAAGTGCATGCTGCGTCCGCAAGGCTGTTTTGCAGCAAGGCGACTCAGGGCTGCTGTGGTGGCATGCGGCGCGGTTGGGGCCGGAGTAGCACGGGGTGCGGCCACGAATGCCGTGAAAAGCGCACCTAGCACATCTATCGACGAGACTTTTGCCACCCAGAAGCAGACCGACCAAGTGACATCAAGTAACTTCTTCACTGCATGAGGGCAGTGGCTTGCACCGAGGCCCCGGCCGCTGCAAAGGAGCACAGCACCGGTCAAGAAGAGAGAGCGGGCCATCCTCAGTCCGTTTCGGATGTCTAACGGAATCCCTGAACCCCTCAGCTCACCCAGCCAATCTGCAGCCACGTCTCTTCACAGCTTCGGGTGGAGGTCGGGAGCACGGCGACGGGAGAAACGCTAAAACTGAGCCGAGTTGAATCACGTGAGCACGTCCGCCTTGCAAGCCTTCGGCTAAGCTCCTCAAGCACAGCTGCTAACGTGTTTAATGTCAGTTACCCCCGTGGTTCAGCGAGCTGGGGCTGGGGAAGACGACAGTGATCAGATTCGAAGAACAAGATGCAAGAGCTGCCCCAAACCGAGATACCCCCACCTCCGGCAGGCCAAGAACCAAGCTCGACACTAGAAATGCTGGGCTGGTGATCCTTTAAGAACGAAGCCTCTTCGGATTTGCCGAGACATTTCTCCGAGCGCACGCTCTCTTCCTCTTCCTCTGACGCACCGCCTCAGTCGAAGCTGGAGAACTTCATCGTTGACATCTTGCTCACTTGATGAGGGGGTTGGCGAAGAGGAGCACCTCGGCAGACATCTTGCTCTGGTTCATGTGATGGCAATCCGAACTCGGAGTCTTCAGAACTTCTGGGGCAGGGACCAGGGCAATCACAAGACCGTAGATGGTCAAGGACTCCATGAAGGCCAGGGACAGCAGCCTGTGGAGCGCAGCTCATCAAGAGCGCTCTACCCCATACGACGGATTCTTGCACGACCCCTCTACCTCCGTGCAAAGATCTGGATCGAAGTATGCAACCCTCCTTGCATCCAAGCGTCAGGACACCGCGGAGGTCGTCTGCGACCTGTCAAAAAGCTAGAGTCCACAGAAGTTATGGTGGCTGCACCGGCGAGATCAAGTCGGAAATGGCAGAGAGACCCACGAACGTGAACCGACTCCCATCTCGCACACCTACTTCTCAGCATCCATAGCGTGCATGGAGCCCATTGAAAGAGGCCAGCCCTCAAATCTAGAAGCCGGGTTGGAGCCTCCGGCTGACGGGAAATGCCGTCAATGCAGCGGCCGCTGGCAATGCCCTGAAACGGAGTAAGAAGCAGCGACCAGCCGTCATCGAGAAACCGCCCAGATTGCAAAACGACTTGGCCCTTCAAGTACTCTCTGGACGGAAGTGAACTAGGAGTACACTTGGTCACCTAGTCGTTTAAAATTCTTCTGGGCATCGAAAGCAAGGCTACACACGGCCAAAGAAGAACTGGGGAGTCGTGCAACTGTCTTGATTGTCTCGGTACATGTTTGGACAACCCGCTGTGGCCTGGCCCACACCCGAGCCGATGGCCGCGAGACCGATGGCGAAGCCGGCGCCGATGGCGGAAAGCGCCGGGATCCACACGGCACCGCCCTTGCGAAGTCTCACGGGTGCTGTCTCTTTGAAAACCAGTTGTTTGCATTGGTAGGGGTCACATCAAACCTTTCCAATTTGAGTCGTTGGGCCCAGCTTTAGCACGTCATAGTCCCTCCCCTTCAAGAGTCGCCAAGCTCCCTCCAGATCCACGAACGAAAACCGAAACTGCGAACTTCTGCCTCAAGTCGTCCTTCCCGACCCGTTCTTGTGGCTCGCGAAAAAGCAACACTGCAACACGCCGGCCTCGGCATGCGCTGCCTGAGGGGCCACCAGCGTCATGGCGCCTTCAGTTGCCGCTGGCTCGGGGCTGCACGTTTGCTTTGTAACTCTCTTCGGGTCAAACACTGTCAGCAACACGGGGCCCACGCGAGAAAGCGCGTGTTCCGTCCGCAAGGCTGTTTGCAGCCAGGTGGCTCAGGGCTGCGGTGGCGGCATGCGGCGCGGTTGGCGCCGGAGCAGCACGGGGTGCGGCCACGAAGGCCGTCAAAAGCGCACCTAGCACCATCTATCGACGAGGCTGTTGCTACCCAGCAGCAGACCGACCAAGTGACATCAAGTAACTTCTTCGCTGCATGAGGGCAGTGGCTTGCACCGAGGCCCCGGCCGCTGCAAAGGAGCACAGCACCGGTCAAGAAGAGAGAGCGGGCCATCCTCAGTCCGTTTCGGATGTCTAACGGAATCCCTGAACCCCTCAGCTCACCCAGCCAATCTGCAGCCACGTCTCTTCACAGCTTCGGGTGGAGGTCGGGAGCACGGCGACGGGAGAAACGCTAAAACTGAGCCGAGTTGAATCACGTGAGCACGTCCGCCTTGCAAGCCTTCGGCTAAGCTCCTCAAGCACAGCTGCTAACGTGTTTAATGTCAGTTACCCCCGTGGTTCAGCGAGCTGGGGCTGGGGAAGACGACAGTGATCAGATTCGAAGAACAAGATGCAAGAGCTGCCCCAAACCGAGATGCCCCACCTCCGGCATGCCAAGAACCAAGCTCGACACTAGAAATGCTGGGCTGGTGATCCTTTAAGAACGAAGCCTCTTCGGATTTGCCGAGACATTTCTCCGAGCGCACGCTCTCTCTTCCTCTTCCTCTGATGCTCCGCCCACTCGAAGCTGGAGAACTTCACCGCTGACTTCTTGCTCACTTGATGAGGGGGTTGGCGAAGAGGAGCACCTCGGCAGACATCTTGCTCTGTTTCTGATCATGCGATGGTAATCCGAACTCGGAGTCTTCAGAACTGCTGGGGCAGGGACCAAGGCAATCACAAGACCGTAGATGGTCAAGGACTCCATGAAGGCCAGGGACAGCAGCCTGCGGGCGCAGCTCATCAAGAGCGCTCTACCCCATACGACGGATTCTTGCACGACCCCTCTGCCTCCGTGCAAAGATCTGGATCGAAGTATGCAACCCTCCTTGCATCCAAGCGTCAGGACACCGCGGAGGTCATCTGCGACCTGTCAAAAAGCTACAGTCCACAGAAGTTATGGTGGCTGCACCGGCGAGATCAAGACGGAAATGGCAGAGAGACCCACGAACGTGAACCGACTCCCATCTCGCACACCTACTTCTCAGCATCCATAGCGTGCATGGAGCCCATTGAAAGAGGCCAGCCCTCAAATCTAGAAGCCGTGTTGGAGCCTCCGGCTGACGGGAAATGCCGTCAATGCAGCGGCCGCTGGCAATGCCCTGAAACGGAGTAAGAAAGTAGCAGCGACCAGCCGTCATCGAGAAACCGCCCAGATTGCAAAACGACTTGGCCCTTCAAGTACTCTCTGGACGGAAGTGAACTAGGACTACACTTGGTCACTTGGTCGTTTAAAAGGTTTCTGGGCATCGAAAGCAAGACTACACACGGCCAAAGAAGAACTGGGGAGTCGTGCAACTGTCTTGATTGTCTCGGTACATGTTTGGACAACCCGCTGTGGCCTGGCCCACACCCGAGCCGATGGCCGCGAGACCGATGGCGAAGCCGGCGCCGATGGCGGAGAGCGCCGGGATCCACACGGCACCGTCCTTGCGAAAACCAATGTCTCGTCATGCTCAGAAGGTGCTTGGATTCTCCAAGGTACGTTTGACGCCGAGGTTTCGCAACATCAACACAGCTTATTCCTTGCAATCTGTAGGCCCGCCTTCGGCATTTTCTTCACTACACTCCTGAACCCAAGCTCGCTCAAAAATCCCGCTTCAAGTCGCCCTTCCCGTCTGCCTCGGCGTGTGCTGCCTGCGGGGCCACCAGCGTGATGGCGCCTTCAGTTGCCACTGGCTCGGGGCTGCACGTTTGCTTTGTAACTCGCTTCGGATCAAACACTGTCAGCAGCGCGGAGCCCACGCGAGAAAGTGCATGCTGCGTCCGCAAGGCTGCTTGCAGCAAGGCGACTCAGGGCTGCTGTGGTGGCATGCGGCGTGGTTGGGGCCGGAGCAGCACGGGGTGCGGCCACGAAGGCCGTGAAAAGCGCACCTGGCACCATCTATCCACGAGGCTTTTGCCACCCAGAAGCAGACCGACCAAGTGACATCAAGTAACTTCTTCACTGCATGAGGGCAGTGGCTTGCACCGAGGCCCCGGCCGCTGCAAAGGAGCACAGCACCGGTCAAGAAGAGAGAGCGGGCCATCCTCAGTCCGTTTCGGATGTCTAACGGAATCCCTGAACCCCTCAGCTCACCCAGCCAATCTGCAGCCACGTCTCTTCACAGCTTCGGGTGGAGGTCGGGAGCACGGCGACGGGAGAAACGCTAAAACTGAGCCGAGTTGAATCACGTGAGCACGTCCGCCTTGCAAGCCTTCGGCTAAGCTCCTCAAGCACAGCTGCTAACGTGTTTAGTGTCAGATACCCCCATGGTTCAGCGAGCTGGGGCTGGGGAAGATGACAGTGATCAGATTCGAAGAACAAGATGCAAGAGCTGCCCCAAACCGAGATGCCCCACCTCCGGCATGCCAAGAACCAAGCTCGACACTAGAAATGCTGGGCTGGTGATCCTTTAAGAACGAAGCCTCTTCGGATTTGCCGAGACATTTCTCCGAGCGCACGCTCTCTTCCTCTTCCTCTGACGCACCGCCTCAGTCGAAGCTGGAGAACTTCATCGCTGACATCTTGCTCACTTGATGAGGGGGTTGGCGAAGAGGAGCACCTCAGCAGACATCTTGCTCTGGTTCTGATCATGCGATGGCAATCCGAACTCGGAGTCTTCAGAACTTCTGGGGCAGGGACCAGGGCAATCACAAGACCGTAGATGGTCAAGGACTCCATGAAGGCCAGGGACAGCAGCCTGTGGAGCGCAGCTCATCAAGAGCGCTCTACCCCATACGACGGATTCTTGCACGACCCCTCTACCTCCGTGCAAAGATCTGGATCGAAGTATGCAACCCTCCTTGCGTCCAAGCGTCAGGACACCGCGGAGGTCGTCTGCGACCTGTCAAAAAGCTACAGTCTACAGAAGTTATGGTGACTGCACCGGCGAGATCAAGTCGGAAGTGGCAGAGAGACCCACGAACGTGAACCGACTCCCATCTCGCACACCTACTTCTCAGCATCCATAGCGTGCATGGAGCCCATTGAAAGAGGCCAGCCCTCAAATCTAGAAGCCAGTTGGAGCCTCCGGCTGACGGGAAATGCCGTCAATGCAGCGGCCGCTGGCAATGCCCTGAAACGGAGTAAGAAGCAGCGACCAGCCGTCATCGAGAAACCGCCCAGATTGCAAAACGACTTGGCCCTTCAAGTACTCTCTGGACGGAAGTGAACTCCTACTTGGTCACTTGGTCGTTTAAAAGGTTTCAACGAAAGCAAGACTACGCACGGCCAAAGAAGAACTGGGGAGTCGTGCAAGTGTTTTGATTGTCTCGGTACATGTTTGGACAACCCGCTGTGGCCTGGCCCACTCCCGAGCCGATGGCCGCGAGACCGATGGCGAAGCCGGCGCCGATGGCGGAAAGCGCCGGGATCCACACGGCACCGCCCTTGCGAAAACCAATGTCTCGTCATGCTCAGAAGGTGCTTGGATTCTCCAAGGTACGTTTGACGCGGAGATTTCGCAACATCAACACAGCTTATTCCTTGCAATCTGTAGGCCCGCCTTCGGCATTTTCTTCCCTACACTCCTGAACCCAAGCTTGCTCAAAAATCCCGCTTCAAGTCGCCCTTCCCGTCTGCCTCGGCGTGTGCTGCCTGCGGGGCCACCAGTGTGATGGCGCCTTCAGTTGCCGCTGGCTCGGGGCTGCACGTTTGCTTTGCAGTTCGCTTCGGGTCAAACACTGTCAGCAGCGCGGAGCCCACGCGAGAAAGTGCATGCTGCGTCCGCAAGGCTGCTTGCAGCAAGGCGACTCAGGGCTGCTGTGGTGGCATGCGGCGCGGTTGGGGCCGGAGCAGCACGGGGTGCGGCCACGAAGGCCGTGAAAAGCGCACCTGGCACCATCCATCGACGAAGCTCATGCCACCCAGAAGCAGACCGACCAAGTGACATCAAGTAACTTCTTCGTTGCAGGCGAGCAGTGGCTTGCACCGAGGCCCCGGCCGCTGCAAAGGAGCACAGCACCGGTCAAGAAGAGAGAGCGGGCCATCCTCAGTCCGTTTCGGATGTCTAACGGAATCCCTGAACCCCTCAGCTCACCCAGCCAATCTGCAGCCACGTCTCTTCACAGCTTCGGGTGGAGGTCGGGAGCACGGCGACGGGAGAAACGCTAAAACTGAGCCGAGTTGAATCACGTGAACACGTCCGCCTTGCAAGCCTTCGGCTAAGCTCCTCAAGCACATCTGCTAACGTATTTAGTGTCAGTTACGGCATGCCAAGAACCAAGCTCGACACTAGAAATGCTGGGCTGGTGATCCTTTAAGAACGAAGCCTCTTCGGATTTGCCGAGCCATTTCTCCGAGCGCACGCTCTCTTCCTCTTCCTCTGACGCACCGCCTCAGTCGAAGCTGGAGAACTTCATCGTTGACATCTTGCTCACTTGATGAGGGGGTTGGCGAAGAGGAGCACCTCAGCAGACATCTTGCTCTGGTTCTGATCATGCGATGGCAATCCGAACTCGGAGTCTTCAGAACTTCTGGGGCAGGGACCAGGGCAATCACAAGACCGTAGATGGTCAAGGACTCCATGAAGGCCAGGGACAGCAGCCTGTGGAGCGCAGCTCATCAAGAGCGCTCTACCCCATACGACGGATTCTTGCACGACCCCTCTACCTCCGTGCAAAGATCTGGATCGAAGTATGCAACCCTCCTTGCATCCAAGTGTCAGGACACCGCGGAGGTCGTCTGCGACCTGTCAAGAGGCTACGGCGGAAGTATTGCTTAAGAATTCATTGCTGAAGAATTTGAGGGCTTGAACATCGACGCACATAGTGATAATTCACCCATGGGCGGTGTGCCTTTGACTTAAGAATTTGAGCCCCCCCTGAAATCTGGACCCAGATTCTTAACTCCTAGGGCTGTGCACAAGCAGGTCCTGGTGTTGGAAACCTCCAAATCAAGAATCTGAGCCCTCACTCAGATTCTTCGCCCCTACACCTGTACACAAGCACATCCCGGTGTGGAAACCTCCAAATTAAGAATCTGAGCTCTCAGATTCTTAGCCCGTACACCTGTACACAAGCAGGTCCCGGTGTGGAAACCTCCAAATGAAGAATCTGAGCCCTCAGATTCTTCGCCCCTACACTTGTACACAAGCAGGTCCCGGTGTGGAAACCTCCAAATTAAGAATCTGAGCCATCAGATTCTTAGCCCCTACACCGGTACACATGGAAACCTCCAAATTAAAGATCTGAGCCCTCAGATTCTTAGCCCTTAGACATGTACACAAGCAGGTCCCGGCGTGGAAACCTCTAAATTAAGAATCTGAGCCCTCAGATTCTTCGCCCCTACACCTGTACACAAGCAGGTCCCGGTGTGGAAACCTCCAAATTAAGAATCTGAGCCCTCAGATTCTTCGCCCCTACACTTGTACACAAGCAGGCCCCGGTGTGGAAACCTCCAAATTAAGAATCTGAGCCACAAGATTCTTAGCCCCTACACCTGTACACATGGAAACCTCCAAATTAAGAATGTGAGCCCTCAGATTCTTAGCCCGTAGACATGTACACAAGCAGGTCCCGGCGTGGAAACCTCTAAATTAAGAATCTGAGCCCTCAGATTCTTCGCCCCTACACCTGTACACAAGCAGGTCCCGGTGTGGAAACCTCCAAATTAAGAATCTGAGCCCTCAGATTCTTCGCCCCTACACTTGTACACAAGCAGGCCCCGGTGTGGAAACCTCCAAATTAAGAATCTGAGCCACAAGATTCTTAGCCCCTACACCTGTACACATGGAAACCTCCAAATTAAGAATGTGAGCCCTCAGATTCTTAGCCCGTAGACATGTACACAAGCACGTCCCGGTTTGGAAGGTGTCGTCTTTGCACAAGCGGGTCCCAATAAGAAATTGCCACAACACGAATATGAGAGCAATGATTTATTGACCAATACTTCCGCTGTAAACACAACTTGTTCTCCTAAGGGAACGAATCGGAAAGCTGAGACGGCGCGTTACGGCCTCTTCCTGCCTTGGTGAGAATGTGCAACTACAAGGCTTTCGGGCGTAGGCTCTACACTAGTTGTCAATGCAACAGTAGGGATTTTTAGGGTTGCCATGCGCATCCGAGGGAGACGTGTCTTCTGAACAAAGCAGGCGAGCGCGTCGGCGCAGTCTCCAAACAATAGGGATTAGGAGTTTGGGATTGCGCGTCTTCGGGCCTCTCAGCTTTCGAGGAACTTTTTGGAGTAGTGGTATATCGAGCTCTTCAGTGGCTGTGGTCCCTGGTTCAAGCCTCAGCTAAGAATGTGTGCTAAGAACCGAATCGGTTACGGGGTCGAAGTCGACCGCTGCGTTTTGCATATTTTAGGAATATGCTGAGAATTGTGTGTGTGTGTGTGTATGTGCGCGGTATCAATCTTTTTATCTATAGTTTAACTATATCAGCTCTGTCATCAACATTAACATCTATATAATTTCTGTAATACTTGTCACATTGTGCAATCATTAGGTTGATGTTAAGCTACATAAACAACATATAACTAGATCAGTTAGGACTACATCATCTATCTTATTAATAGTTCTACCAATCTTAACAGGTGCGATGCTTCACTCATTAAGGTTATTAACAGATATGCACCTTATACACTAGCATTTGGTTCATATTTGGAGTGATGCTATGTTCTATCAACGTTTGGTTTAGTTCTTTGGGAATCCAGAAGTCTACCCTTCCAGCATTCGATAATCAATAGTTTAACAATAGCTGGCTTTTTGCATGTTTAGTGTCTTTGGTTAACTTGTCTATAATCGGATAACCTGAGCTATGAGGCTATGAGTTGTCTTTGTCTATTAGGATAAATTAGTTTGGACACATCATATGTTTACAACTAGTATGCAGCAGTGATACAAGAGCTAACTTTACAGGTTAATACATTAATACATTGGTTATATGATCATTACCAACTTGTTCATTACGATCATGTAGTTGGTATTCTACATCCCTGGACAAGTAATGCATGTCTACTGATACTATTTCACAACTAATGTTAACTGTTATAGTATATCTTTCATGTAGTCTGTTTACAATAGGTGGTTCAACCGGTATTATACTTGGTAATTAGTGCTGCTATTGATATATGTTGTTGCAGTTTTTCATTATGTCTTACCATTAAGTACAATCAATGCTACCCCATTAGGACTATTATATGTATTGTCGCGTGCTGTATTAAAATGACTTACTAACACTAGATGAACAGCTATAGGTGGCATTGGCATGAATGGTCTAGGTTAGCTGTGTAGAGGTTAATACAAATCAAGTTGTCTAAGCTTTTCATGTGTGTTCTAGTGATGTTATGTGAAGGCTTACATCATTACATCTCAGTGGTTCTAATGTTTAAGCCTGGTAGAGTACAAGACTAAAGAGATTACTTAATATAGTGGTTGGAATGATACTAGTTCAGTTGGTGAGTGGTTGCACGTTAGTTTCATTTTGTATCACTACAGTCCTTTCCAACCAAGATAGTTTAATAAGTATTGAGGAAGCCACCGGAAGCTTGTCATGAATCGCGGCTGCTGTGCAGATATGAGTCACCGGAAAATAGAACTAGGTTATACTAGGCTTGAGTACGGAACACCGCGAATCACAAACTGTATACGGCATGAGTGAGACCAGTGATGCATGAGCGATATATGTGATGCAGCACACGACTGACACACACCGGCTTCTTTTGGAACGCGCAGCGATTCATTGAACTGTCTGTCACGTAGCCAATGTGTCTCAAAGCGTCGAAACCAAAAAACAAAAACCAAAAAAAACAAAAAAAAAAACATTCTTTCAGAACTCTCCCATTCGTGTGTGTTTCTAATGTTATTCTGGAAGAGCACTGAAATAATGTGTTTTTTTCACTTTTTTGGGTTTTTTTTGTTTTGTTTTTTTTTGTTTTTTTGGTTTTGTTTTTTTTTGGTTTTTTTGGTTTTGTTTTTTTGGGATTGGGTTTTATAGGTTTGTGAAAGGAAAGGGGCTGGTGTTTCTTGGGGTTCGAATTACGACAACGCCCCTAAGCGCCAGAGTTGATAGTGATGTCGTGGGAAGGCGGACCTGAACTGCGCAAAACGCACTGGTCGAGTTCGGCCCCCGAACCGAATCTGAGCCTCCCTCGAGGCTGCGAAGCGGCTGAAACATGAGTGTGTCGCAGACAAGCAGACTTAAGAATCTGAGCCTCCCTGAACAGATCCCAGCAAATTATCAACCAACGCTTTCACTGTACAGTCTACAGAAGCTTGGTGGCTGCACCGGCGAGATCAAGTCGGAAATGGCAGAGAGACCCACGAACGTGAACCGACTCCCATCTCGCACACCTACTTCTCAGCATCCTTACCGTGCATGGAGCCCATTGAAAGAAGCCAGCCCTCAAATCTAAAGCCGGGTTGGAGCCTCCGGCTGACGGGAAATGCCGTCAATGCAGCGGCCGCTGGCAATGCCCTGAAACGGAGTAAGAAAGTAGCAGCGACCAGCCGTCATCGAGAAACCGCCCAGATTGCAAAACGACTTGGCCCTTCAAGTACTCTCTGGACGGAAGTGAACTAGGACTACACTTGGTCACTTGGTCGTTTAAAAGGTTTCATCGAAAGCAAGACTACACACGGCCAAAGAAAAACTGGGGAGTCGTGCAAGTGTCTTGATTGTCTCGGTACATGTTTGGACAACCCGCTGTGGCCTGGCCCACACCCGAGCCGATGGCCGCGAGACCGATGGCGAAGCCGGCGCCGATGGCGGAGAGCGCCGGGATCCACACGGCACCGCCCTTGCGAAAACCAATGTCTCGTCATGCTCAGAAGGTGCTTGGATTCTCCAAGGTACGTTTGACGCGGAGATTTCGCAACATCAACACAGCTTATTCCTTGCAATCTGTAGGCCCGCCTTCGGCATTTTCTTCACTACACTCCTGAACCCAAGCTCGCTAAAAAATCCCGCTTCAAGTCGCCCTTCCCGTCTGCCTCGGCATGTGCTGCCTGCGGGGCCACCAGCGTGATGGCGCCTTCAGTTGCCGCTGG